TACTTACAGTAATTCACTAATTAAAACTAATATACAGGGTGAGTCGGGAGGAGCGCACCAAACTCTAGGAGTATATTATACACGTGAAAATAATGTAAAAAAACTCATATGTTCTTATTCGATTTTCATTTGTTTTGAAGTTATAGCATATTAACAAATAAACAAATTTACACATAAAAATTCTCTTAATCATAGCTTTCTTTCAATAAATGTTCAAAAATACCGCCATTGACTTCTAAACATTTTCTGCTTCGTCTACGAAGAGCGTTTGTTGCTCTCCTAATTGATTCACTTCTTTCTTCACTGTACACTGACAGTTCATCAAAACGTCAGAATTATCAAATACCTTTGAGCCTTGAACATATGGCATACTTTGATAATGTTAAAATTCAGAAGTGGAAAGCTAGATGAACATTTTTAATTACGCCATAACTTGAAAACAAATGAAAATCGGATAAGAACATAAGTTTTTTTACATTATTTTCACGTGTATAATATATTCCTAGAGTTTGGTGCGCTCCTCCCGACTCACCCTGTATATGTTACGGTCAAAGATGATATTTTGTCTTTAACGATATTGGCCGGTCATTTTCGTAAATCTTCTATTTGATTGTGCATTCTGCTGACGTTAGTGTCCGGCCAATATCGTCAGTGACCAATTTACAACACTGCCCGTAACATATATATCGGAAACATTAAGATATTGTAATTTAGTACGCGTTCTTAAAAAAACAACTATGAAATAGGAAGAAAAAGGACACATACAAAATCACAATTAAGTTGGAACATATACCAGACGGTCTACAATATAGTTTCCCTAATTTTGAGCACTGATAAGTCAATTTTACTTTGAAACCTCATATAATTGACACATCCTTGATGCAATTGTGAAAAGATTAGTATATTTGTTTGCACAACAGGTAAGTAATAGTAATTTACGTTACAAGCTTCCAGGACTCGACCTGTAAAATACTAATTTCCGGTCGTGTGACGTACAATATTTTTTTAAGACCGACTTTTTAATGTAAACTAATTTTATTTATTTTATAGTTATAATTAAGTAATAATCAACAAATACTCTGAAATACTGGGAATTGTTGTTTTTTGTAGCGGTACTAACAAAATTAGTTTGCTGCATATTGTTTGTGGAACATCCCGCATGGATTTTGTTTGCTATATCAATTTTGTTTTTCATTGAATTTTCAAGGTAACCTGCTACGGTTGAGGATTTCCATCCTCCGTGCCGTTTTAAATTTATAAGATCACCCCCTCCTACTAGCAGAGTCGCTGAGCTTCGACGAAAGCAGTGACCTGTGAATTCGCTTGGATTTTCCAATGTAAGATAGGAGCAGTGTTGCCAATACCAAACTTGAAATTATACGGTGGCTGGGTACAAAAGATACGCTTTTTATACGCATTTGTAGATTTAGCTTCGTAGCCACATCTTTGCATTTGAAGATATCAAATTTTTGTTGCTGCCAGGTTCAGCTTTAGGTTTGTGAGATGGGGTACTGCCGACAGAATAAATGTAGCAATGCAAATTCGTTCAGACAGACTGCCAAAAGCCAAGAGTTCCAAAGCAAAGTGCATTTCAACAATACGAACAAAATTGGTTCGGTGAATCCCCGGCTCCGGGCTTGTTTTCATTGGTCAATGACATGGAGTGTGGCCTTTTCTATAATAAGCAGCCAGATACCAGTCAGTCACTGTTTAATAAAAGTAGAGCAGAAACAACTAATAACTTGTCCAAATAAACGCAGTGTCTAAACTTATTTCTAAAATAAATGTAAATCCAAAAAGATCCATAGTTTTTTCCCAGAATATACAGAAATTATACGGAATTTCAAAGAGTTAAGGCTGTATGTCACGATACTAAATTAAGTACTAAATTTAGAACTAAATTAATGCATTTTTTAAGTACTAAAAAAATTCACGTTGCAAACAGCAAATTTAGTACTAAATTTAGTGCTAAAAAAAGTCATTAATTAAGTACTAAAAGTGCGCCGAAATGTTACGCAGAAGTTTTTCATAGAAAAAGTTGACACGACGGTATTTTCTGTACCCTTTTATTTTTAATTAGCGACAATTTTACATTATCGCCTTGAATAAAGTTCGCTTGTTTGATTTTGTAGGTTTTATTGTTTTTTTCTTGGTTTTTATGCTGTATTTGGTTGTTGTCAAGTCAACTAGTGTCAAATTGGTAATAAAAACACCATTTACTTGTCTGTTTTACACATAATATTTCATTTCTCTGTTAATTTTACGTATTAATACGTCAATGCGCGTGCGCATATAGTAAATTTAGTACTAAAAATAGGTATCGTTGCAAACGGAAAAAAAATTTTTAGTTCTAAATTTAGTACTAAATTAATAACTTAATTTAGTGCTAAATTTAGTACTTAATTTAGTATCGTGACATACAGCCTTTAGAAAAAGATACGCTGACAAGTCAGAATATACCAAAATCGTATAATTATACGCAAATCGGCAACACTGGATAGGAGGCGATTTTGCTAGGGGCTTTTCCCACAGAATGCAAACCTACTGCTTGGGTTGAACACTTCCCATTTTAAAAAAAAATAAATAGTCGTTTATGGTTGGTATGCAGTGGTCTCAATTGCAAATAATTCCTATAAAGTTGCAAATCTCTTTGGGAATTTACAATAAACGTTCTGGTGGTATTCGTTTTGGTTATGGGGATTTTAACTATCAACATTGTTTCCTTATCCTCGATATCATTAAGTGTCATATTAACGAGTTCTTCGCGGCGACATGCACCTGCGGAACCCATAATTAAAAGCACCTAGAATAGAATTAAAATTTATTGTAATCAGTTTTTACTTCGTTTCTTTGATTTTTAACTTACCTTAAGCATAAGATATTCGATATCGGTAGCATTGTTTAGAAATGTTTCGATTTGTTCTAATAAACACTATTAATTTGAAAAAATTGTTGATATTTACATTATCTTTTACAGTCATCGTAGATTTCAGCATGGAATATAGGCTCCATAATGATGAAGGAGCCAGTTTTTGTGATTTTTCGGCAAAATATGCCAAAAGCACTTCTTCGTTTACATTTTTTACTTTTTTTTCTCGGCACCAATTTTTAAATGAATGGTATGTCTTTTCATAGCGGGTTTTTGATTTTACTGGTAATAAATCGTAAATAGCTTTCTTCGCTGTTTCTAAAATATCTTGTGGAATTTCATTTTCAGCATCTGAATCCATATTATTTGTAAATTTGAAAACTCACAAATCAAGTTTGACATAAACAATAAATTAAAAATCAACGAACTGTCACTTGACAATAAATTGCAAGGATTATCAAACAGCGATTGGAAAAATTGAAAAAGAGGGACCGGTAAAGACTATTTTTACCGGTCCCTAGAGTCTACTTTCTGGTCTAGACCGCCAAAACGTTACTTTCTGGACGAAAAATTGTCCAGAAAGTGTATATTTTCTGTGTTTGGTCTTAAAAAAAACATGTTATGTAACCCTTGTTGGAACCCTGGATACATAAAAGTTTACTAACAAAAGTAGATGTCAGTAGTTTAAATAAAAATACAACACTGCTATATATCCGACGTAATTGCAAAGACTTAACATTGAACCTCTGAAGTAGTATTTCTTGAGTAATACCGCGTACTGAGTATACATTGGGTCCTATGATTGAACGTTTACGTTATCCGTAACGTACATGTTAGGCCGAATTTTAAAAGTAACGAGGCAAGTTCGTATGATGGAAACCTGTTAAATTAGAACATAACAGGCGGAAAATAACAGTAATGTGTTATGAAAGACTTTACATCATACGAATTTGTCTCTTTACTGTTAAAACTCGGCCTAACATGTACGTTACGGATAACGTAAACGTTCAATCATAGCACCCATTGGGTCCTATGTTAAATTACCAAAAGAAATGTTTATTAGGCAGGTTTGAATATCCATTAAAAGAAAATATTTAATTTAATAACACATTTAATTGACATTACAACCAGAAGTCTGAAAAATATATATTTTTTGTTGATTTTTTTTATTATACATTTTAAAATTAATGTTTAATATAATTCTTTGAAAAAGATACCATATATTTAAAAAAATATATGTAGTATAATTTCAAGCATCATTCTAAATAAATACAGGGTGTTCCTTAATGATATGCAAATATTTAAGGGTGTAAATCTACATAAAAAATTAGTGGTAGTTTGCTTTAAAAACTATGGTCCTTTTTATGTTCATTCTTCAACAATTACAATAATCTCGGACCATAGTTTTTATTGAATGGGGAATTTTAAAATATTTTTTGTTTAGAAAAAAACCATTGGCGTGCCATCTTTTTCTTCAAAAATATTGAGGGTAGAGCTCATAGGCACGCTACTGTTAAAGCTGGAACTACACATTTATAAGCCATTATTAACTGGCACTGAATATTAAAAATCAATGGAATATCTTGAGCGGTTATGAAAATATTAATTTTTTTTTTTTTTTCTAAAACTTTAGTACCCTGCATTTTTGTAACGGAATATTTTTACACCATAGTTTATAAGGCAAATTAACATTAATTTTTCATGTAGATTCACACCCTTAAATATTAGCATATCATTAAGAAATATCCTATATTTAATCCATGGGGATTTAAGTTTTTTCTTCCAAGTGGCACATGCTTGGATAATTGTATATATTGTTTAAAAATTACATTTGAAACTCGTTTTCTGAAATATCTGGCCTGATAAAAGTAAATATTCTATTTCAAATTATATCCACATACATAATTAAAAACTATTTACATATTTTAATTGTCTTATCTATGATGATAAAGTACAATCTCATCAATTATTTATTTTTCTGGTCCATTTTATAATCCTAAATTATGACATTTTCAAACAATGTTACATCATACTCATTTGCAATATTCAACTAAAAATGCGTTCCCTTTGAAAATTTGGATCAATATTTGAATAAGCAAGCTTAGCTCCAGAGTATTTAAGTCTTTAATTCCTAATTACGTAATAATTTTAATTGTTTTTCAAACCCCTCATTTGGTTTTATGCAACCTCGAGCAGTTTTGCAGATGTCATAAGATTCAGAATAAGTGTAGCCCTTGTTTAAAATTAGAAAACCAATAATAACTGAAGTTGATCTACTCACCCCAGCGTTACAATGAACCAATATATTTTTGTTATTGTCAATAGAACTTTGAATAAAGGGTACACTTTCTGATAATATATTATCAATGTTAGTTTCTGGTAAGTCCAGACAATCGACAAATTTGTACATTATATTAGGATATTTTTCAGGGGCGTTTATGCCTATACTTAAAACGGATTTAATATTGAAGGTTTTTAAAACTTCAATGTCACAACAATCTTGTGAACCTAAATATAAATTGTCAACAATTTTTGCAGGGATTTTGTCAGGCTTGGTATCAATTACAAATCCACTTGCTGAGCCTATTATTTCAAGATTGTTCTTAGTTTCCTTATAGACCTTCCCATCAAGTTGAGTCACTATAGTATCAGTTTTTTTTAATATTTTTTTCTTTGATTTTATAGAATCCAATAGACTCATTTTTGATAATTTTAAAACTCCCAAAGATAGACTGTTCAAAAACACAAATATTTTAATATAAAGATATTAATTTTTTAAATCAAAATGAAATGCAAAGTATTTAAAAATATAATTTTTGTGAAAACTACAATATCTGATAACCAAATGTATCTTTAAAAGTAGAGGGTGTCCCACCTTTTGAGTTAAAATTAACTAATCAAGGCACAAAAAGCTCACTTACTGCCTTCCAGTTTGATGAGAACACTGATTTCAAAACTTACTTGATATTATTAGCTATAATGTCTAGTAAATTTGTACTATATGTATTAAAATGTTTTTTATAGCCCCTATTAATAAGTTCAAAATTGAGTAAAATGCACGTAATGTTTTACAAAATTTAATGTTTGATATTTTATATATAACTGATAATTTTAAAAACAATTATACTATAATTATTATTATACAAAAGTAACTTATTTGCACTTTTAATAGAAATCTCACCTAATTTAATGTACTCATTTAAAAGTGTATTTAATTGTACCAAAAAGGCTTACAAACTATTTAATTAGTGGAAAAAAATATGCAACAAAATCAAATTTTTAACAATTTGTTGAATTGTCTGTTTAAATGGGTTCACTATACACTTCAAAAGTAGCAACACCCTGTACAAATCTACAAGATTAAGAACCTATTTTATCTAATAAAGAACCGAATGTAGCTTACATAATTAAACTTTATTGGTTACATGCTACTTCATAAAATTACAAACACTAACCACTTGGCTGTTCTTTAAAAAATTAACCCTTCTTTAGTTTGGAGACCTTGATCTGCTTCTAGACTTGCTTCTGTCTTTACTGGCTGATCGACTTCTGGACCTGGACCTTTCCCTAGAAGCTTCTCTTGACTTGGAACGCTTATCAGGGGTTCTGGAGTGGGACCTAGACCTAGAGCGAGAACGACCTCTGTCAACAGATTTCTTCCTGGAATTAGACCTGGAACGGTCGTTGGACTTTTTACGTGAGTTTGATCTGGAACGAGACCTAGATTTGGATTTGTCCCGTTTGGCCTTAGCACTAACTGAGCGGGACCTTGACCTGGACTTGCTCTTGGACTTAGAGCGGTAGCTGCGACTGCGGGACCTCGAACGCCTGGCAGATCTGCTGCGGGATCTACTGCGACTACTGTAGGAAGCTGAGCGTCTGCTCTTTGTCTTTTTGTCCTCTACCAACCTCAGTCTTCTGCCATTTAATTCGGTATCATCAAGCTTATCCAGAGCAGTTTTCATGTCAGAGTAGGACGCGAATTCAACCACGCCCTCATTACGGTGCTGCTTGTGGGCATCTGCATAGGTAACTTCGCCGGCTTGGCGCATATAGTCTTTTAAGTCTTGCCAGCTAATTCTGGAGGATAGATTTTCGACGATTAAGCGGTAGTTGGTTCTGGTTGGGGGTCCATATCTGTCATGGGAGCGGTCGTCGTTATTCCTTGATCTACTGCTGCTGCTACTACTGCCGCCTCCACCTCTTCTTTCGCCGCCGCCTCCGCCGCCGCCACCACCACCAGACCACTGGTCACGTCCTCTCGGGGTGCCTCGGGCCCTCTCGACAGTCACTCGCTCCCCTAAAAGTTTTTTACCGTTTAATTCATACACAGCATCATCAGCATCTCTATAATCGTCAAATTCAACAAACCCGTATCCGTTTTTAATAAGAACGTCCCTCATTCGACCGTAACCTCGAAAGAAACGCTCCAGGTCCCGCTCCGTGGTTCCATAAGGCAAACCCCCTACATACACCCTAGATCCAACCATCCTGAAACTAAAACTTATATCCCCGATTCCGGATCCGTCCTAAACGTGTCCAGGTCCTCCTTTGAGTATTCCACTTCGCAAAGGTACAAACCGTGTGCAGGCAATGTTTTGATCTGAGGACACCAAGAGTGACGGGATGGTATCTCAAGCATCAACTTTAAATCTCTAATTGTAACTTTACCTTGTGCTAAAGCCACCAACGCTGCTACAATCCTTCGCACCTGAATAGAAAAAAACCGTTTATACTAAAATATCTACCTTCCCAACGGCATTACTTGGAGCCATTTTGAAATGTTTCCCTCCAAGCCCACCGGTCACTTTTAGGTTAAGCAACGTGTCTGATCGACTTTCAACAAATTCTACTCAAGAAAATCCATTCACACAATTAAAAATATAATCAAAATATATTTACTTGCTTCCAATGTATGTTGATCTTGCACACGAAGCTCTACACACTTGTAAACAATTTTTTCGTCTAATTTATTACTTTAGTACGTCCATGTAACGTAAATTAAGAAGAGAAAGAGAGGAGAGGAAGAGGAAAGTTCGAGAAAACGTCAGTTGTCAGATACACAGTTAAGCGGTGTTGCCATAGCGCGTATGTCATTTGCCCAATCTCGAACCATAAATTAATGACGTCATAGGTAGTTTTTAATTTTAATAATTACAGGACGTGTCATCGAGAATACGGGTTAGGCCACGGTTCGAAACTCAGTTTTATTCCCTCTTTATACCAAAGAAATAAAGAGAGCATTTAATGCCAACAAAGTCGATTGACAGTCAAGTCAAAAACAAAATTGTTACGTGTGTCTTTTTATCCAACTGTTGCAGCAACGTTGGCATCTGTTATTTATTTCAACGGTCAACCAGAATCCAACACAAAACTTTCAAGGCCGCATCGGTGAAACAACGGTTGCAACAAACCGGTGGAAAAAAAGACACACGTGTTGCCTAAGGGCATTGATATGGCAACCCTGTATGCACGGTGAATTTGACAGGGTCAATGATATAAAGTTATATAGATTGATCATCCATGTTTTTTAATTCGCTCCGTGCATGACAGCAGCGCTATGAACTAAAGGGGATTTTGCGTACAGTATAATTTTTAATAGAATTATGAAATATATTTTTTGATTTTAATAAAAGTGAAAAGATTCATTTATATTATTACATATTTTTCTTACTACAGCTCAAAAAATAGAAGTAGGTACCTATAAAATATTTAATTTAAAATTACTAAGGGTGAGATTACAGAATGTCTGCAACTTTGCAAATATGGCGGACTTACAAATGCAAGTATTCCAAAAAATATCTGCAAATTCGCAATATTTATTGTGGTTTAACCCCCAACAACACTAAACACAAATTTAGAATACGAAAACTTGATACTTGCATGTATAAGTCCGTCATATTTGCAGATTTTCAAAGTTGCCGCCATATTTGCAGATCTGCAAAGTTGCAGACGTTCTGTAATCTCACCCTAAAACATTGCACAGAATAATAGGTAATTAGGCAACAGTATTTACGAGACAGTGTATGAACAGTTGCATAATGAAGTCAAAGGTTAATAGCAAACGTGGATTCAAAAATTATTCACAAAAAAATAGTTGTAATATTTTAGATTGTAATTTATACTTGTTTTCTTCATTTTTAGTTTGAAAAAAAAAATGGAATTTATTATTAAATAACAGTGACAAAATTGCATTACAGATATCAACAATCAAAAGCAGAAATATTGTTGTTGCTCATTATTTGTTTTTAACTATTAAAAAAAATGAGTAAAATGTATAGATATAATATGATAAGCCAAAATTACAAAATATCACCCTAAAGTGCATTTAGCGCTAATATCGTTTTTGCTTCCCCTACCATGACCTCGCATTAATCGAATACCTTGAAGTAAAAATGTAGGTGATTTTTTTACTATACAGGGTACCTACTATTTATAGGGACAGTATTGATATTTCTTAAATCGTACAAGATAGACAGTTGGTTAAATTAGACAAAAGTGCAGTTTTGTGCTCATTTAAATTGTGCCAATCTCCCTGTAAATATCAAAGGTTTCTTGGCACCACTTTATTGGGCACAAAACTGCACAACTTTTGTCTAGTTTAACTAACACCCTACACCCAATCATTCTTATTGTACATATTAACGAATGTATGTAATGTTTTTAAAATATTTATATTAACTCATATAACTTTTCCTTATATATATTTTTATATAGCACAGACGGACCCAAAATTCTATTTTTTCGTTTATATAATTAATACCTACCTACCAAATATTTTATTTCCTACCTGTCTATACAGAAAACCTGGTGATTTCATGTAAACATCTATAAATAAATAATCATCGAATGGTGTTTCTATAATTTTTGGCCAACTGTAAGTGCTATAACCATATCTGTCGACCTGTTGAATCTTTACGTATTCAATTATCCTTCTAGTAACTTTGTCTGGTTCATTTTTATGATTTCCCATGAAACTTCTAAAGTCATGATAACCTTCAAATAAATTTGCTCCTTCCCTCATTTTATCCAAGTCAAATGTATCTGTACTAAAATAAATAATTTTAAACTAACATAAAAACACAAATGTCATGAGAACTATTATTACCAATAAAATAATGATCTATCCCATTCTTCTATTGGAATAAATTGATAATTTGGAGCGCAATTTATAGAATTTGCCTTGCCCACAGTTAATCGATACATGTAAGTTCTAGATATAGCTTTATGCCTACAATTGAATGTATCAGGTACTAAATATGTCTTCAAAATTCTAATAGGCACATCTTGTTTTTTAAAATAACTATTCAAGCAAATTGTAATGGATCTGGGAAAATAGACCATTCCATTACTTCTATATAAATTTACAGTGCAGGTTGTATTGATTGCATGAACACCAGAATCAGTTCTAAAATTAAAATTTAAATTTACTACAAGCATTAGTAAAATATCTGATTTTTAAAATGCCTATATAAAAGTGTTTGATTTTTCAGGTAGTTACTTTATTTAAAGTTGGTACCTAACTGTACATTGTTTTTTTATTATTTAAAATTAGGTATTAATTCGTTTTTTTTTTTCACAAAATTCTAATTTATTCATAAAATGCATGCTCGCTTCTCAGATAAACAAACTGGCACAATCCATCCCCACTCAAATTAGCAACTGTCTTCTTCTTTCTAATGTGGCAACAGGTGCAACAGCTGTCTACATATAAATGCAATAAATAAGGACTTGATTATGCATAAATGGATTAATCTAATAGCTTTTCATCAGCATTGGTATTACTTATACACATGAAAATCTAAATCTGGGAAAGAAAATCATCAGGAAGGCTTTTGTAGAAGATAAATAATTAGGGCCCAAAATATAACATGGAAAGAACATTTTTATATTCCTTTATGTAAAACATTTAAAAATTATGTTATATTGTGCCCCCTTTCAATGAAATATAAGATTTGGAGTGGTTCCAAGCTGGACAGATAGTCTTCTTCTAACTGGTATGCTTCCAGGAACTTTACCATTACAACAATAATTAAAATGCATAGGCAACTAATAATGAACATAATATGGTGATAAAATTGTTGCCTTTCTGTTTTTGCTTCAAATAATAAATTAGGCAGATAGTAAGCATGAGCATGTGACATTATTTGAGGGATTATATTAATAATAATATATGTAGAAGCGAAAAAATCTAAATTAAATAATTTATACAATAGTATTGAATGTTTTAAAATTACCTGGAGGACAAATAAACTATAGGCTCATTACAAGGATTTAATTTTTTTAAAGCCATCTCTAGTCTACCCTGAACTGTTAACGGATCGTCCGGCCTTGGAAACCCCCCTAAAATCTGTCTTTGGGAACCCCTATATAAAAAAGTGAGGTTAGCTTAATATTTCATTTATTCATATTGTACATATTACCTGAATGGTTTACCTATGTAAGCGAAATGCATTAAATACTTAAATGCCGACATTATTAAATAAATACGACTATTAACGGTAAAAATTTACTTCAGAAAATTATATTAACTGCTTAAAAAAAAGGTATTTTTATACCACTTAGAATGTATTAAATAGGAGACATCTATTTATGTATTTTATTATGTCTTCTGCAGGTGTTATTATATTCTTTTATGTTGAAATTCGAGTTCAAGAAATATTTTATTTATTTTAAATTTTAAGATTGCACATGGGCCATGACAATATTTGATTATTTGAACTACTAGGGAAGGGAATATTTGAACTATCTATTCATGTCACTGGTCACTGCATTCCTACCTACTGAATTCCGAGTCAGTGATGCCAGATGATCAAATTTAAAATACCTAAATTTGCCGCAAAAATGTACCTAGAATTTCCTAGCCTAGCGGTTTACGGTTTACCATGGGTTTACGAATGAAAATGTATACTTAGAATTCCCTAGACGTTTACGAAATAAAAATAAAAATCGATGTTTTGAATCGGTATGATTGAAAAAGGAAACTTGAGATGTGAGAGGAGAGCATGCAGTTGGAATGTCATTTCCCGAATAGCGCGGTAGAGTCGCCCAGAGAAATAAAAAATTATTATTATTTACTTGACACTTGTTTAATACTATTTTTGAGAAGGACATTTTGAATATATTGCCTCAAATGTTTATTTTATTTCCCTATTTCTCTAGAAAAATGATTTGGCAAAAATCTCCCTAGAACTAAGAACAATTCCCTAGATCTGGCATCGCTGTTCCGAGTACAAAGTACAAATGAACTACATACGTATCATAGATCGTACAGAACTTTAGATTTCTAGACGAACAACTAAGTAAGGGAATTTTGTACCAACTTAACTCATGTTTTATTTTTATCTTCAAGTAGTTTTATAGGTTTTATCTCTGTCATTGTTATTGGGATCTGGATTTATTCTATTTCATATTAGATAACTGTCCCACTAGGGTGACTTGAAGCAGGGAAAACCATCATCGAAACAACAGTAACGCATGGCGGTTTGTAATATGAATGCCATATCAACAGAAATTAAATTACTGGTAATACGGCACCCATCAAATCCTATAAGAAACCATGTAATTTAATTAAAAATGCACATGGTCTGCTGGTATGCTAAAGGCTAAATGGGAGATGATTACACGACCTTATCACAAGTGAATGTGTAAACTACGGAGAGTTAGCATTAGACAAGTAGGAAACGAATAATATCAGCGTTGTTGGTCTATAGGACTTGACCGCATTTAACGTTGATTAAGTTGTATAAACTGGCATTGCTGAAATATTGGTTTCCTGCTCGTTCTAATGCTAATTCTCTGTTGTTTTCACACGCACTTGTTCAAGGCGTATTGGAAGAAGTTCGATAATCGATGCTGTATAGGTTGATCACCCATGTTTTTCAAAATAAACATAAGCTTATGCCTTGAAGTAAAAAATGCAGGTAATTATTTTTTGTACCATATTCAAAGGCTAAACATTGGTTTTAAAACACATTTTTGCTAAGCCGATTCTGATTAATGAGCACTTACGAGTCAATATGGCCGCTCCCAAACAATTTCCTTTGAGGAATCTATACTATATATGTACATTGACCCTGTCAAAGACTACTGCGGGTCGATTCTCGACTTGTAGGAACCTTTTCCTATAGGAATTTGTAACACTTTCCTATTGTAGGGAAATGTCATAAATTTTCTATATATAGAAAAATGTCAAAAATTGCTATAGGAATAAATTCCTACGAGTCGAGAATCGACCCCCTGACCGGCGTTGCCAAATTTCACGGGGCGCATTTTGACAAGTTGTTGGAACGCTTAAATAGTTTTGAATTTCTAGTCTAGTTATCGCATCGGTTAGACACGTTTCTTCTTCTGTTTCTTCTCCTTTATGTTATCATCTGTCTTGTGTTTGTCTTTACTTTTACAGTAAAGTGTGTATTGTCTTTATTTTGAATTTTGAAATAGAATCGATAATCCTCATATTCAAATTCACCCTTTACGCTTATCGCTTATTTTATTTCTGTTTTCCATTTAATTCCAAAAGAAAGAATTATTTTATAGAAGGTGTACTTAGATAAATAATTAGATACCTGTACCTGTTCTATAAATTTAATTGTTTGTGCTAAATAAATATTAAAATAGGTATTCACCAATTGTGTTCAGAACGAATTAATTGGGAAGTTTGTATTAATAATAAAAAAAAATAATTATTTGGAGTACCTATTTTTTAAATGAAATTCGCGTTCGCTGACAGGTTATTTTATTTGTATATTGTTCGATTTAATTTTATAATGTTTTTCAATGCAACGGAAGTGAATATCACAGATCAGTGAACGGAATACGTCTAAAAAGAGCAAATAATTTAGAAGTAATCAAACAAGCGAAATCAAAAAATACAAATACGTTTCAGACAAATCACATTCCGCTCCCGCTGCACTATTTTTAAACCAAAAGAAATATGGCGGCGATCAGACATATCGCGATCTGCCTTTAACTATCGCTTTAAAAAATATAAAGATCGCACAATTAAAAGGATGTGAATTGTTAATAAAATAGTGCCGATATTGAACAATTGTGCGATAAATTAAGTTTAGTAATACATTCTCTAGTAGTGCCTGATATTCCAGTTTAAATTTTTTGGGTGGATTTTAAATTTTTTATAGAAATTGGTAAGCCTACTTTATAGGTTTTATTTGGTATATTTGATAAAATGATGAATGAGTTTGTTTATCCGGTATTTGCTTTATCTTTTATATACTCTAATTTGATAATTTTTATCAATATGACACATTATGTCAAATTTCTATATTTAAAAATGGGATTTATTTATAATTAGGTTATTACTTGTCACGTTTTGAATTTAGTTTTGGTTTAAACGTTTATGATAGATTTTGTTTCTAATATGCAATAATTTTATTATTTTTTTTATGTATGTTCTATTTATCATTTGGTATATGATAGTTAAATGCCATCTGATTCATCAGTAAAGAGGCGTTTATCAGCTGCTATAACATACGTAGTGAGCTACATTCCAGTTACGTTGATGACGTCTTAAGATAGATACATTCATTCCTTGATACAAAACTAAAATATATTACAGCATGAACTAAGCTTTTATTATACCCAACTTGTTGGTATTGTGTATGAATCAAATTTTTGGAGTTTTTATTTAATACAGTTTTATTTATAATTAAAAACAAAAATTATTTAGGCCCGTATTTATAAACATATTTCAAGTGAGTCTGAGTCAGCTGAGTCATCCTTGAATGAAAATCAAAGTTTGGTTTTCATTCAAGGACGTTTCCCTCAAGTCTGTCTCAGTTGAGATGTTTATAAATATGGACTTAGTATTGTGCTTCCCAATAGTTTCTAGATAACAAATATCTGGTGTTTCACAAGGTTAATGATATCTTTTAATTTGCCTTCAGTACTTCCTGAGCAATGCTAATTATGTCAACAATATATCGATTTATGAATGAGAGCTTAGATTTTTGTGTAAATATCTACTTAAGTACTTTACTTACTACTTTTTAATATGAACATCAATCCCAATAAAATTCTAATAAGATTTGAGCATTTATTTGGTATTAAAATTAAGTAGAATAATATTTTTGAACTTGAGGCTTGCGATCTAATAGTACACCACTATTTAGAGGTGTTTTTGTTCCAATCTTTGAATAACTAAATCAATTCTTTCTACATCCACATGGATATAGCAACCTAAATATTAAGAAACAAAAACAACATCCCCAAGAGTTCAGCTACCTTCATAAAACCAGATTTAACAAAACAGTGGGGAGAATATCAACAACAAGTTGCAGAACAAGACATTACAGAGTACCAAAAATTGTCTCTTTTATTAAAAAAAGTTTACCAAAAAACTAAATAATTTTTAAATAGTTGAAATTTCCATGATGTATACAAACAATAATTCCCTATTTACCAAGCTGGATGAATTTAAATTGGTTGTCACCCAACAAGAACCAACTAATATTTTTATAACAGACCTGGGTATATAAAATTCAATAGTTATTCGGGATTACTTAAGTGATTATTTAAAGAGGGTTTATAAGAGTGCTCAAAATTCTGTTAACTTGGTTATTGAAGAAAGGAAAATAGTATTATCAAGATCAATTAACTAGTGCTGGAAATGATACAAAAAAAATGTGGAAAACTCTAAATACTATTATTAGTAACTCTAAAAAGTGTTCTGAAATTTACTTTAACTTTAATTTGCAACCAAATACTAGTCAAGAAATTAGTAATATAGTTTTATCATTGAAGAAAGATAAAAGTCCTGGAAAAGATAATCTAACAGCCGAAATACTAAAGGAATTCAATAATGACATATCTCAAATTATGAGTACTCTTATTAACTTGTCTATTACATCTGGCTCTGTAGCAAGTGCTCTTAAAGTAGCAAAAGGTATTCCAATATTTAAAGGTGGTAATTGCTCCATGTCCAGTAATTACAGACCCATCTCTTGATTGTCTGTAATATCCAAGATAATGGAAACTTGTGTGAATACAAGGATGTGTAGTTTTCTAGATGAGGATGATTTTTGGTTTTCTGGTCAATATGGGTTCCGGCCAAGTTCTAGTACTGCTAATGCTGTTGTTGATTTAATTACTACTATCCTGGATAAGAGAGACAAGGGCCTGGGATGTATATTTATATCATTGGATCTAAAAAAGGCATTTGATACTGTGAATCATAGCAAGTCACTTGAATGGTTTAAAGACTAATTTGAAGGCCTTATTCAATATGTACATTCAAATGGTGTGGATAGTAATATGTCAGATATTGTATGTGGAGTACCACAAGGTTCAATACTGGGACCAACTCTGTTTCTAGTTTATATCAACTCCATTTCTAAACTACCACTAAAAGGTAAGATTGGGCTGTTTGCAGATGATACTGGTTTGCCATTCTTTAGCAAACATAAGGAACAGATAAAAAATGATACTGAACACGATCTGATCCTTATTAAGGATTGGCTTAGTTACCACAAACTATCTTTATGGTAGGGAATGGCAACAAATTGAATTATCTATTGGTAATGAACTTTCAAATAAAACTGACTGTATACAATATCTTGGCCTATTAATAGATGAAAAATTGTCTTGGGAACAACATATTAACTACATTTGCAAAAAGATAACACCCATCATTGGCATTCTTGGAAGAATCTCATATCTATCTGTGCACTACAAGAAAATGATTTACCACTGTCTTGTCAA